GCGCTGGCCAATGCTCCTTTGGCAAAAAGCACTGGCCCATCTCTTCCACCGAATTTTATGATTCATCAGTCAGAGTAAATGTAAATGTGGAGATGGATGGTGTATGAAACTACCATGGAAATGAATGCAGGTAAGGCTTTAAAGGGTCAAAGCGTTTTCGAGTTAGAAGCAAGATAGACAAAGCACATGGTTGTAATTAGAACATTGTCCTTCAAGCTTTGAAGGCACGGATTGTGGGGATGCAATTTGGCTGCAATTTACTCTGACCTCAGCTAGGGATGTTATCTCACGGTACCCCCCATGGCTTCATAGGCCCTTACTCTGGTCTCCGCTGTGGCTGTTAGCAGGGAGGTCAGATGGACCTGGGCAATACTGCAGTGCTCATGAGTCACTTCTGTGAGTCACTTAGCTTCAGTCGGACTCACTTCCTAAAGTCAGCCAAGCGAGGGAGTTAACTTTTTGCCACCTGCACTGCTTACAATAATATTGCCGTCTCTGGCAGGGCCCGGCCTTTTTCGGGTGAATGGGAGTTTGGTAGGTAGGCTAGATATGTTTGGCAGAGAGAGCAGCACATGAAAAAGCTCAAGAGCAAGTTGACAAATGTGACTGAAGATGAGAAGATAAGTGGGGAACAATAATGGAGAGGCTTGGAATATTATGAAAAACCTTAGCATGTGGCTAATACGACAAGAGCCAGGTTTCAGAATCTTTGCTTAGAGCCCGCTGTGGTTTGGGCTTGGTTTGTTCCAGAAGGGTTCATGTGCTACAACACTGGCCCTAATAGGGCTTAGGAAAAGGGGGTAGAAATTAGCAACCTAGGAAAAGTTGAGGCTGGTGGAAGCTCTGCTCTCTGCAGGGATGGAAGGATTGTGCATGGGACAGTGGTTAGCTTTCCTGAGAGTAAGTTGTTTTAAAAAGGGTGTGAATGATCCCCCTCCCCTCTGTCTGTCACCCTGAGTTGCCAATGTTCTCTTCTGAGTGCCCCAGGCTCCCTTTCCGCCTTTCCACCATGTTGTGACACAGTCAAGGTTCCTCAGCAGCGACCAATCTGATGAAAGCACTCAATCTAGGACATTTAACCTCCGAAATCCTAGGCTAAATAAGTTTGTTTTCTTATAATTATCCAGCCCCAGGTACTTTGTTGTGTCAATAGAAAACACCAAGTAAGGGGCTAGTGTGAGGAGAGGAGAGTGCAATACCCTACCTGAAGAATCCCCAGATGCCCAGGCGATATTGAATGACCACCACCACCACGTTCTCAAGGGCAGACAGCACCACTCCATCATAAGTCGATGCCCCGCCCACCACCAGACCTCCTCCGTGGATCCACACCATCACCTGCACAAACATGAAACAGACACACTTGTTACTGGGAGCAGAACTGAGAAGGTCCTCAGAGGTTGTCTGATTTGGTCGCCTACATCAAGGCTGTAACACACGGAAGCCATTGTCCAAAATTCACCAGTGCCCAAAAAGTTTGCAAAAGGCAATCCCGTTCTTCCGCATCTCTCCCCAGCTGGTCCCAGGACACCACGCTTCTCACTGCACCTTGGTTACTACTGCCTTCTCCGTGGACCCATGCGCCTTGACGTCGCAAGGCTCATCAGACTGAGAGCTGTCATGGGAGCAGCAAAGACCAAGGCTGTTTTAGTCTTCTCAACACTCCGTCATCTTCGTGCCTTGACCATTTAACAGCCCCCGTATGTCAGCTTCACTTCAGTTAACTCTTTAATAGTGAATTAAACTTGTCAGTGTGGGGTTGTTTATTTCTAGAAGCCACAATATCCCCTTTTTAAAATTATTTTCAAAATTTGGATTAGTACATATTTATAGTAAATCATGGTCACATTTATCATAGTGAGTTGATACAGATTATATATATATATATATATATTTCATCTTCTTTTTTCACTGCCTACCCCTTCCCACTCCTGTTTGCCCTTTCCAACTCTTGGAAACTCCCTTCCCATTTGCAAAAGCTGTTCCATTTTTTAAATTAGTTTTCTTTCTCCTTCCTACCACTCCCTCCATCTCTTGTTCCCTTTTCCATTTGAAAAAGATCTCCCTACTCTCTATCAGTTATCTACCATTTTTTTCTCTTTATTTACATTTTGGATGTCTCATATAAGAGAAATCATGCAATATTTAAGCTTATATGCTTGATTTATTTCACTTAAACCATCATTACAAGGTGCATCTATTTACCTACAAATGCCTCGTTTGTCTTCTTTATGGCAAATAGTACTCCATTGCGTATAAATACCACATTTATTTATCCATTCCTCTGTAGATGGGCATATAGTGTACAGGCCATTTTCAAGATTTAGCTATTTTAAATTGTGTGCTGCTATAAACATGGATATGTATATACCACTGTGATGGGATGATTTTAACACTTTGCACAGCATACTAGAAGGGGGTTAGCTGGATTGAATGCAATTTCTTCTTTTGTTTTTTAGATTTTTTGTGCATGCCTCCCTTCTGCTTTCTTGCAAGCCAAATCCTTCCTGCCATCCTAAGCCTAGTTCACATCTACCTGTGCCCAAAAAGGCTTTAGCATCTTCACTTACATTTTCTGAGATTATTTTTTGTGCCAGCAACTGGGATAAGAATTGAGGATTAGCAGGAACACTAGTCATAACTTGTCCTTCTCAAATTGAAAGAGTTCATATTACTAATGAGAAACAAGAATGAATATTATTACAGAAACGCTGATGAAGAAAGAACTCACTGAGAACTATGCACGGAGGACTACGCTGAGCACTTTTACAAAACCCATTCATGAAGGAAATACCACTATTTTCCCACATCAGATGTAGGCAAACTGAGAGATTTCCCTTTCCTGTTGTAACAAATAGTTGCAGCAGGAATTTAGCCAGGCAGTGTGGCCCAGAGTCCACATGCTGAGCTGCCCACTGACTGCAGCCCATAGCAGTAGCAGAACAAACTGGCTGTTAGGGCAGAAGATCTTACTGCATCTCTATCTAGTTGGACATCAGTATTTGCATCAGACACCTAGGAATGACTGAAATCAAGCTCAATAGTCATCATTGAAAGCTCATCTGTGATTATCCCCTCTTGAGGAAACAGGGGCTAAGAGAAGTTAAGAAATTGCCAAGTCTCTTGAGAGTAAAAAATTTCACTCAAGTTTTAAGTGCAGTCTGCATATTTCTAGCGTCTGTGTCCATGGGAGGAGAATCTCATCCCTGCAGCCTTCCAGGGCACT